ATCTTTAACCTCCGCCTCATGGGGACCATTGTGCTGATCTTTCTAAGAAAAACTGTTCAAGCACCATACAATGAAATATTATTGTCATAAAAAAGGAATGAAATACTGATACTACAACCTAGATACACCTTAAAAAACATTATGCTAGGTAAAAGAAACTAGACACAAAAGGTCAAACATTGTGTACCTCCCTTTACATGAAATGTCCAGAATAGGCAAATCCATAGAGACAGATTAGTATTTTCCAAGAGCTGGGGCAAAGGGGGAATAGGGAGCAATTGCAATGGATATGGGATTTCTTTTTGGGGTGATGAAAAGGTTCTATAATTACCACTACTCTGTGAATATACTAAAAACTGAATTGTGCCATTTAAAAAGGTATTATTTTATGGTATGCAAACTATATTTCAATTTTCAAAAGTGAGAATTCTGTAACTTCTACCATTTGTCATCAATATGAAAACAGGAAAGTATAAGTTTATATCTGGGTTCTCTTCTACTAACACTGATCTACCATAATAACTTGGCCATCTGTTTAACATAATTTTTTATGTATGTCAGTTTTAGTGAGGTTAAAAAGGGAATATTACTATTTGATATCCTTCTTTCTAATCAGAATAGCAAAGATTAGTAACATTTTTCTAGGAATTAGTTATATAACCTTCAACTGTTACTCAAAGGAAGAAATTTCACTGTAACATTTTCAATTTAATTCAAGGCTAGGTTCAATTCTAGTTTAAAACAAGTTCACAAAGGCAAATTATACGGAATATATACTTTTGGTTTCAGTTCAAAGGCAAGAGCTGCCATGAAATATGAAGACTTCTGGTCAGTTCTGGAGTCAGTTTAACTTAAATGCTTAAACTTAAAACTATAGGTAAAATCCTTCTATTTATTTCTACCTATTTTTCTCTGTAAAATAATATTTGTTTCTCCATATTATATGAATACACACATACACACACACAATTGTTACCAAAAAAAAAACCTGGAACACATAGGAAAGCACAATGGGAACAGAAATCACCTTTATCACACCACCCAAATACACTGCTGTCAGGTTAATTCTGATTCAGTGACCTTACATGACAGAATAGACCTGCCCCATAGGGTTTCCAAGGCTGTAATCTTTATAGAAGCAGATTACTATATCTTTATCCCACAGAATGGCTAGTGGGTTCAAACCACTGATCATTTGCTTAGCAGCTGAGAGCTTTAACTACTGTGCTACTAGGCTTCCTGCCCAAAAATAACCACCATTTAAATTCTGGTTCATGTTGTGTAGAAAGTGTTTTTCATTCATATACATAAATAATATGTCCATGGTATATATTTATTTACACATGTTTATACATTTTTTATCATATGGTATATAGCTTTTTGTTCAATTTAATAATATATATTTGACACTTTCCCATGGCATTTTTATTGTTAGTTGCCATCAAGTCATGGCAACCTCATGTACAGAGTGGTACTCCATAGGGTTTTTAAGGCTGTGACCTTTCAGAAGCAGATTGCCAGGCCTATCTTCTGAGTTGCCTCTGGGTGGGTTCAAACCACCAACCATTTAGCTTGTAGTTGAGCACTTAACTGTTTGTGCCACCCACAGACTCCTGCCATGGCATTAGTATCTTTTAATGCTATAGTTTTTATGGCTTCATAGTATTTCATCATAGGAATATACCATGATTTTTTATTGTTTCTACCAAAAAACCAAACTCACTGCCATTGAGTCAGATCCGACTCATAGCGACCCCTCCTTGGATTTCTGAGGCAGTATCACTATGGAAGTAGATTGCCCAATCTACTTTTTTTAATATTATAAATTATAATGCAAATTTTTTATCCTTACACATATTTATACACATATCTAGCTCCATAGGACTTATACCAAAAAAGTGAAATTGGGGTACCTATGACTCATTTCTCCATGATAAAGGCCAAAAGAATCAGCAAACTAGAAATAAATGAGTATTAGAGGAATCAAAAGGAGCTCTGGTGGTGCAGCACCTAAGGCATTTGACTGCTAACCAGAACGTTAGTGGTTCAAACCCACTAGCTGCTCTGTGGAAAGAATATGGGGCAATCTACTTCCGCAAGGACTGACAGCCTTGGAAATCCAATGGGGGTCACTATGAGTCACAATCGACTTGATGGCAGTAGGTTAGAGGAATCAAAGAAAACAAGTAAAAATTACCTGACAAGGTAGCATCAAATCCCATGTTTTCTATTTCTTCTCTCAAGGTTTCTGGAGAGGTTAGTAGAGGATCATATTCAACAACTCCACTGCTATCTGCAAGGGAGACTTGTACGGATTTTACACCTGCCTTTTTTGATATGACACCCTCAATAGACTGTACACAAGAATTACAAGTCATGCCACTGATGTTTATTACAGTTTCTTGAGTCAGAGGCTGGCTCACTATGTTCAAAGGGATTTTTTGATGAGATGAGCTAAAAGGAGAGTTTGGGATACTCTCAACATCACTTATAATACTAACAGTATATTGCCCTGGTGATACTGCCTCTATTGCCTTTCTCAGGGTTTCTGGAGTGACTGAGCTTGCATTATATTTTACAATGGCAGACCTATTCTCTAAAGAAATTGCTATGCTGCTTACATATTGGAGTGTAGATAAAGCACTTTCAATATTTGACACACATGATTTACAATGCATGCCATCTATGATAAAAGTGGCTGTTGAATCATTGGTATATGATGGACTCTTTTGCAGTGATCCTTCTGAGGATCTGGCAGATGTGTTCTTTAGACGTTCTATGTCAATAGCTCCCAATGTAAGGTACTTGGGCTGTTTTTTGATGAATGCTGGAAAACCCACAGCTTCAATCTGCTTTTTTATTTCCTCTACTGTGATAAGATGAGGCTGATAAACAATAGTAGCTTCTTGATTGTCCAGGGAAACTAGTTTAGGGGAAAAAAAAAGAATCATTTAATTCAGTTATTTCTGGGCCACTTAAGAAAGCATCCTGTATACCAAATCAATTATCACAAATAATTGTCTCTCTCATTCTTGCCATCATCCTTTCCTAAAATAATTTTGTTCTATTCAGAAAATATTGACATACCAAAAAAACCAAACCCGTTACTGTCAAGTCAAATTCAATACATGGAAAACCTATAGGAAGAGTAGAATCATCCCACAGGACTTCTAAGGCTGTAAATTTTTATGGAACACATTGCCACATCTTTTCCCCACAGAGAAGCTGTTGAGTTTTAGTTAGCACCTGAGCACTTAACCACTGAGCCCTGGGGTTTAATTATTGACATAGGCTGAAGAAAAATAAATGAAATGACCACTGAAGCTATAGTGTCCAAGATTATACATGCCTGAGTAGAGATATATTAAAGGTAAAGAGGATCCCTGGCATGCTGTGTGCAGAAACTCGGACTCCACTAATTACAGTTCAGAAGGCTTTTCAGCTAAACTTCAGCTTGACTCTCACGTAACCTTTAGTTATAATCATTAATTTTACTGTACGTGAAACTTCAATGAAGCAATAAGCATTCTAACCCCATAGATCCAAAACTCATGCTTAAAAAGAAAGTAAAATGTTAAAACCCCAAAACAGAAGACTAAGCTTTACAAATCAATAAAACCAGAAATATTACCTTTAATTCGCTGAACACCTTGTAGTTTCCCAATTTTTCCTTCAATGGTGCTAGTGCATGAATGGCACGTCATCCCTTCCACCCTCATTTTCAGCATGATTTCACCTGCTTGAGTCATACTGTAATCGTCACAAGTTCCTGAATTTTTCTCCAGAGATCCAACATCTAAACTGACACCCGGAACCAGTTCTATTATCTGACTGGCATTCACTATAGAAGGGATTATTGTCACCACTGCAGTTCTTTGCTGAGGGAAAATTTTAATGTCTGTCACACCCTTGGTCTTGAGCAATGTGCTTTGGATGTGGTCCCAAGGTGGAGCAAATGAAGCAGTAACAGTCAGAAACATGGTGTCAGTTAAAACAGGGAGTGGATTAGGATTGTGGAGAGTGGCATCAAAGCCCATGTCATAAATAGCTTCCTGTAAGGTCTTTGGAGTCTGTAGTTTAGGGTCATAAATAATAGCTGCATTTTTTTCTTCCAGTGAAACCTTTTGGAAGGAAATTTCAGAAGTCAGTTTAGTTAAATTATACGACACATGACTCAAAAATATCAATCATCATACAACATTCAAGACAGATAAAACAAATAATTCAACCTAATGGAGTTTCTCTATTAGTTTTCATCTTTACTATTATCCTTATAAAAGAAACACAACATATCTTATATACTTGTAAGAATAGTAAATCTATATATAGGCATATGTGACACTGGTACTGACAAGGTATTTGAAACAGGCTTGTGGACAAACACATTCTAGACTTTCACAACAGCGTACCATGTCCTTTCAAAATTACTCCAACACTTCCCACTCTATTAATTTAAATGGCTATACAGGAGACAGGATCAAGAAAATGAAAAGTGTCATGAAGTTTAATCTTAAAAGCTGTTTAATTAAAATAACTTTGTTGGAAGAAAATATATAAACATGCCAGATTATGAGTAAAGGTAGTATTCATTGGATTTTGTAGCAAATTCTCCTATATCCCTCTAATTCACTGTGGTCTAGTATTAATTTTATTTCAAAATAAGAATACTTTATTGGTTTGCCTGACTACAGGATAAAAATAATTACTATATTCTTAAAGGCCAGCTACTGCATACAATTGAACTGCTCCCATGACTGCACCTTTTGGCTTGCATCTTGCAAAGATTTATGATATAGTCACAAACAAAATACTGGGCTGGAAGTCAGAAGATCTGAATTACAGTGTCAATTTTCAACTTATTAGCCAACCACACACATAAGTTCTACTATCTGAAAAATGGTAAAATATGCCCCAGTATCTTCCAGGATTCTTATAAGATCATATGAGTAAACAGATAGGAAAGTTCTTTGTAGCAGCAATGATTTATATAAAAGTAAACATGAAGCAACTAATATTTATAGAGCACTTATTACGTGTACCAGGAATTGAGATTCTCAGGATACAAAGCTGAATATAACACAGTCACAGAAAGCAATATTAGGATAGAGAATACAGAAAAGAGACATCAATTCATCTCTAGGAATATCAGTCAGAAAAACTTAGAGGAGATAACACGTGAGTGTTTAAGAACACATAGGAATCAGCAAGCATAATGTAAGGTAGAAAATTCCAGACAAATAGAAGCACCAAAGAGGAAGATGAGAGGCTGGAGAATTAGGAAACTCCTCTATTATGAGACCCTGTATGTCAATAATGGTTTGTATTTTATCACATAGGTAATGGAAAAGATAATCAGGGGAGTGGCATTACGAGATTTGTGTTTTAGAGAAAAATCAATTTGAAGACACTGTGGAAGATTATACTAAGATTAGTGCAGTGATACTGAAGGAAGGGAGATCAGCTCGGAGGCTATTATAATGGGAGTACAACAGAGGGTCTCAGTTGAGTCATAAAGACTGAAGGTAAAGAGAAAAGGGGGCAGTTTCAAGATACATTTTGTTGTTCTTGTTGTTGTTAGGTGCCGTCGAGTCATTTCCAACGCATAGCAACCCGATGCACAACAGAATGAAACACTGCCCTGCCCGATCCCACGTCAGCTCCCTGATCCTTGCTATTATTTGAGCCCATTGTCGCAGCAACTGTGTCAATCCATCTCGTCAAAGGCCTTCCCGTCTTTTGTCGACCCTCCACCTTACCAAGCATGACATCCT